GAAAAAACGTTTGCTTAAATTTACTATTCTACAGAATACACTTTACAGTAAAATTCCGCTTAAAAATAGTTATGTTTATTATTCTTATAGACTATAGTGAATATCCTTAACATTTGACATCAAGATGAATTGAAAAAAATATAAAATGTATGACGTCAATCAAATTATCAAATCTCTATTACCTAATCAGTTCAAAATATAAATAGAAAAAAAAAATGAAACTAACAATATTATGCAGGTATAAAAAATATAAACTCAACATTGTCTTCACTTGACTAGCACACGTGTGGGTTGAACATAGTTCGGACGAAGGTATTATAGTATGTAATCATGATATGTCGGGTATTATAATAATTGTCATAGGCGGCGATTGGATGGGTGAGTAGGACTCCCCTCCTTCCTCTCAAAAAAAAATTTTAAGATTCCTGAATTATTGAACATTTTCTAAAGTMCCCACTTCTTAATTTCTAAAGAAACATTTAAGTCTTCCCTTAAATGCAATCAAATCTACGCCTATGATAATAATATAATAGGTGGTCTGCAGTAATATTATCATGTGGATACCGGACGTCCGACTTGCATCTCGCTCTCAGCGATCGCCATCCATTGGTTGCGGCTGGTGTCGAACCACGTCAGWCCAAAGTTGTACTTGCCGTTGAGGTTTGCGTGCTGACACCGCGAGTACCACCAGCCACCCTCGTAGTTGGCCGCGCAGTTCGCCGTGCTGGCGTCTTGGTCGCGGTCKGCCGTGCTGAACCGGTGACCGTTTTGGAAGGACAGAGCGTCGGTGGCGTTGCCACTGTAACCGGAAATGTCCAGCCTGTAACCGTCAGTGGAGTTCGATATCGAAAAGTTCGAGTAGTTCGCCCGCCAATGATTGCCGTATATGTCGGTCATCTGGACGCGCAGAGAAGACGCGTTGTCCGCCGTCAAACGGTGGATAGCTTCGTTGCCCAACCAAAAATCGCCTGTAAACCGCGGTGAGAATAATTTATAGTAATATTTTTTTTTTTTTAAAGCCTCATTATAATAATGTTTTAATAATTATTATTATTGAATTCGCATCAATTTAGTAGCAACAAATTATGTTATRTATAGACAGGTAGGTAAGTACCATTGAAGGAAATTGGTGGGAGAGTTTGAGCGAACTTATTCCATTTAAATAGTGATAAGTGATCTAAATATTTACTTCAAAACTCCTTTAAATATGCAAAAACACATTTAAAATACAATTTTTTATTTTWATTTTGGTTCCCACTCTGAAGTCAGAAGTTGAAACGGGGGGAGGGAGGATTGGCTCCTTCTTAAAAATGTAATTGATTTTTAATGTAAAATAAAATATAAACAGTTCAAACAATATATTGCGGATTAGTAGCCAGTAGGTAGTAGTTACCTACTACCTATGGGTTACTTGTTTTCGAATAAACACATAACATATCAATGTACCTATGTATGCATTCATATAAATTATAATCGCTGAATATGGTGTAATAAATGGAAGGAAGGAGTTTATATTTTAGTAATTGCTTACACCATTGACTATGGGCCACGCCATAGAATTATAGGTAGGTACCTAACATTTAAGAGAATATCCATGTCGTAACTATTATAGCTTAGGTTATTTATCTAACTATAATTTTAACTATTTTCTATTTAAACGCAGGAAATAAGCATGAGTGATATGCAACTAAAACAGTAAACTCCAATTACCTACGCGAAAGGGATGAGTGAGTACAAAATTATCTAAAAAAATATATGGCGCACTTTCAACATTTTTTTTGTTCGTATAATATCTTGAGTACCTACATCTATTATAGTACTATAGTAGGTATTGTTATAAACCTATATCACCTGATTAACTAGATACCACAACAATACAACATTTATATGATAGTTCTACTACACCTACACATAACACATTTGTGTGTATAATAAAAGTGATTACTGATTTATATTTTTAAATTTATTAATAAAAACTGATCAGCTGTATGATATTTTGGTACAGCTGATTATATTTGGCTTTTGTGCTTTTCTTTTCTTTTCAAATTGAAAAATGACATAAAAACGTTAATTTTGTTTTGACCTCACATTATGATATACCCATAACCCATATAAATATATTATAGGTATCTACCTAAACAAAATGTAATTGTAGTTATATTAGGAATTTCTATAACAACATATTTAAACTGCGCATCAGTATTCAGTAAATCCTTGAAAAATACCGTTAGATGACTGTAGCCCGTAGGTATTGTAAGGGTTGGTATAGTTTATTGGTTTCTATAGAACTATGGGGGTCGGTTACTCAGTTGTCAAAACGATTTACGAATAAAAATATTGTGCTCGATCTAGTAGAATCTAAAGACTTACAGAAGGACGTAAATATAGGCTTCAGTCTGGATTTTATTTTATTTTTTGGTTTGGGAATCAATTGAAAAAAAAAATTAAAATTTTCTGCTGTAAATTTTTTGTTATTTATTATACATGTGAACGCGATTATTATGTGGTCTGGAAGTTTGGCTCTTATATTTATATAGTTGTATCGRTGTAATTATGCGCTGCCAACAAACCGTATCATTTGGTATTTTTTATTTACTAGGTCTATAAATACTAAAAAAAGTAGGAATCAACTTTTTTTGAGTGGGCTGGAGAACCTTGTAGGTACCCCTGGATAACTCCTTGGGCCTTAATAATAAACTTAATAAGGTTCTTTCTATTTTCTAATCATCCCAATACTTTTTTTAATTCAAATTATTATTAATTCACTCACTAAACTAATTACAAGTTAGGTGATTGTAATTATTAAACATAAATAAGTTTATATGTATTCATTTATCATTTTACTTGTAAATTAATATTAATACTATAATTGATATATATTCCATATTCACTTACCGTATAAATTTCCGAAACCTTTGGCATACTCGTTCCAATTGTTATTGAATTTGAGATGGTCATTGGTCCTTTTTTGTAYCGTAATCCAAGACATACCATCCGTTAAGACACATTGAACGAGCAAAGGGTTTTTTCCATCCGGTGCTATCAGGTACGTTCCCGAGTGTTTCATTTTAGAACAATCTATACAATAAAAATATTAAATTATTAGATAACTACATATAATTAATAATGATAAAAATATCATAAATATACAATTGTATATAATATAATATATAATATAAAATGTATGTTCCTACTCCGTATAGTAAAACCTATAATTTATATTGATTAAGTTAATACAGATATTTATTTATCGTCAATATGTTATATTTTTACAATGCACCTATGTATTTTTTGAATTTCGAAAATAATAGTTATAGCGCAGAAACCTTCACGGGACGCATTTGACACATCTATAATTTCCCTATCTGGCCTATCTAGTTTATTAAAAAATTATAATATTTGCGTAAGAAAATTAATAAACTTCGTGATGGTAGTATACTAGTATACGGAAATAAGGAATAATATTATACCTGCAGTATCTATAAATATATATATATATATATAATGTATTATACTATTAATTTGTATACATTAATACATTGAAGTACATACCACATAGTCATATGTTTAGACGTTTAGTTACAACACATACATAATATGCTCTATATTATACTGCATATTATAATTTGGATATTAAACATGTAATTCTAGCTATTGCCTATTAGTTATACATTTATGGAAATACAGACTAGGCAATTAAGTAAATTTAATAATTTTTATTCAGATGAAGCCCTGAAGGTACAAGTACCTATTATGGATATACTTTAAGTCATACCAGTAGCTATATACCCAGTAATTAGTTATTTGTATTATACATGTTCTATTATTTACTACATGACGCACATAATGCCGCATATATAAACATGGAAAACGGAAACAATGCAATAGTAACCGGATGAATATGAATAAAAAAAACCACCTGCAGTAATATTCGATATGGTTAACCGATCAAAATAATTAACTAGTAAATACTTGCTGCAGGGTAATATGAGCAACCCCATTTATAGTTTACGCTTCAAGAATTATTTAACGGACTTTTTCGATTTCAACTCGTTATTTTAACTTTACATATATGTCTTCTATCATAATCCTTTTATAATATTATATATAATAGTATATTCGTATATAAATACATAATAATAAGCCTATACGTATATACAGTGACGGCACTACGTATTTTGGGACCCTGGACAATATTTTTGGTGAGGCCCTGAATTTTTTTTCTCTAAATACCATAAAATTATTAATAAAAAATTAGTAGACATGGACCCCCCTGGACATGGGGCTCTGGGTATTTGCACCAACTACCCACCCCTTAGCGTGCCGTCACTGAGCGTATTATAACTATAAAAAATAATAATAATATGTATTAATGCACTATGGCATTAGACACTTTTTCCCTCGTGATATTGTACACGGATATTATTGTTGATGAATAAAACATTTTTTTTTTCTAAATTAATTATAGTGAAAATAATAGCACATAATATTTAAATGGTAATAGTATGATAAGTATTTATACACACGCTGACAAAATATGTGGGATAGTTCTCAGTTTCTCACATACCTTTGGGAAGTCCGTCGACAATTCTTTCGAATGAATTTTGCAATGTGGCCAATTCGTCGATTGCATGTGCACATTCCGTACAATTTTCTTTCATTATCTAAAAATGAAAACAATGGTTCTATTAGATTGAAATCAATTTCATAAATATTTTCATACTTCAAGCAGTATAAAATATGCTAAAATATGTTAATTAGCTATTAGCAGTGGTTAYGAATGTTACAATGATGTATTTTACGGTATTATATCTATAAGGCATAGATTGGCACAGACATGGTTTCAAACAAGTTAATGGTTATGGAATATGCACAATTCTGCATGAAAACAATAACTGACAACTGTTGAGCTGAGTAAATATTAATACAATAATTACGTTTGCAAACGTCAAAACAATGTTTTTGATGATATTTTTCTTGATTAAAAAATATTTTATTCTTCCCGGTTTCGAAATATCTGTTATGGCGACATCTGTAGTTAATATTACTATCATTATAGTACAATAGGAGTATAATTATTATTCATAGTATGATGGGTAATATTATTGATTATTAAAAAAGATACTGCCTTGATAGTCATTATTTTACGTGAAGAAAGAATATTTTCCCTTATCTATTTATATCTTTCAACTCGGGGTAAGAAACTAAGAAATATTTTACTCTYTTACAGTCTTACAAAGTTTATCTTATACTTTTGTGAAAAAAAATGTATTATGGACTATGATGGTAATATCATAATGAGCGTACAACTATATATATTATACTTATTGATCGTACACTCGATTATGCTTAATAATCGTTCAAAAATTTATATATTTTTTATAACCGTTTTGTTTTAACAGGTTCTTTYATGATAATATTCTCTAAATGACAATAAAAAAAATAAAAAAAACTGAATTTTAGCGGAATGCGTATTATACCTATTCTATTCCTTTTTTGAGTCCCCGCGCAACACTTCCGTTTTATTGAGTTTTTTCGTGAATGCATATTATCGTACATTTGTACGTCGGTATAATAATATACTATAGTAGTATAGCTCATTGTTTTAATTTCGTAYATCGCAAAATACAGTAATGGTTGTCCTGCTCGCGTATTATTGTGCAACGTTATTTTTAATTTTTTTTTTTTTTTATCATAGAAGTACGTGCATATTATTATAACTATGTTCATAATTCACTATACATATTATTTACTATAGTCCACTATTTTTATTACGTGCGTGCGTGCTGTAGGTACTATGAGTGTATTACAAGGAGCCAGTTCGTCCGACATATGGAATTGGGCAGGTGTGAGGAGCACCTGACCACCGTCGCGCCGCCGACTGTGACCTCGTGCTTGCTCACGATGGGACGAAACGAATAATATGGTAAAAATACAAACCACCTGCCGCCGCCGGGCAGCGTGTGCATCGCTCCGGGGGCCCCTATGTATGTATTATTATTATTATCTGTGGCACAATAACATTATAGGCTATAGCGAACTATGAAACCACCGCAGATGACGATGGACCAGTTTTTTTGTTGAACTGCAGGATGGAAATTCGGCGAATCGCGTACGGGTGCTAACGTTGACGTAATATTATAATTTATTATATATCTCATAGGTAATGAGCAAAATTCCGAAATCTGCTTTTTTTTTAAAAAGAAAACTAAAATGCTTGTATAGGTACGTATACAGAAAATTACAAAACCGAAGGACMAAAATTAATTCAATACGATTTATCTACTGCCGTAATGTTTGAGTATATTATGTATATGGTAGACTAGTTAGACTACAAAAAAGTCCTAGGAGAATAATTTACCTGACTAAGTTAACAATCAGTCATGCATACCTACATATAGTATAGAAATTATAACAATTTATTCATTTTAACGATATTTTTTTATGTAAACAATTAATTGGAACTTTGACATGTTAATTATAATTATTTGATTTTTTTTTAATAAATTATTTTAAATGTGACCTACCTGTCAGATAAATAAAGGTTGTTAATTCATTTWAARTACATTTAGGTGTAAGGAGGTAAAATAAAATAGGTAGTCGTAGATGTTTATATGTTATAGCTATGATATAGGTACTCACATTAGGGTTAGTAACCGTTTTCCCGATTTGTTTTTCATTGTTGTACATGGTCATTTTTCTCTGTATGGCCGACATCCCTTCGCCGAGGGCTTTTGTAGTCAACATTTGGTTGTTCTGTAAACACAATCGTTACRCACTTACAATAAATTCGTTGATAATATGATCTATAGACTATGATGTARGTACCTACGAAGTATCTATACAAATAATTATACGCGATATACGATGCGTTTAAATATAATATAATTACTACCTATACAAATACTAAAATACTATATTAATATAACGTAGAACATAATACCTAAGTATCCGAGTTTGGGTGAATTTTTCGATTTTATAATATAGTGACATAATATGTATATAATAGATGATATAATATATTGCCGGACTCACTTGGTCTTCTTTAATGATGGCCACGGATGCGTTTATCCGGGCCACGGTAAATTCGATTTTCGATATTTCTTTACGCACTTCCGGCAGACACGCGTCCACTCGGTCGTCAAGATTTTCCACGCTTTCCAGCAGCTCTAGTAAGGACCCGTGAAGCCTGTCCTGGGTGGCATCCTGGCGCGTGGCGTTAAACGCCAGCGCTTCCTTGGTGGCGTTAAGGTCAGCCTCCAGCCGGGACAGACGGTTTTCCCGCTCAATAGCCGCGCTCTCTCGGTATAGCACGCCCTTCATACGCTTCTCCAGACGGGCCATCCGGTGCGCCAGGTATTTGCGCGATGACTCCAGCTGTTCCAGCTCTTGCGCCTCTCGGTCCGTCACCATGGTGGTGATGACGTTCGTCCGCAAACGCTCGATGTTATTGTTGTCGTCGTCAACGTTAAACGCTACTCGCTGCATTACAAACAAAAATTGGGTGTTATATACGAATATGTTTATAACGATTGCACAATACACGCATCTACAGATAGTAATCAGCAGTGATACTATAGTGATGTTAGTGTCAAATAATTTGATAAGTTATAACCTTAAAAAAAAACCCAACTCAGTTTCATGAAAAGACGATTTGAAGTCTTTTATGTAATTGTTTACCAAGTTATTATTTAAAAAAAATATTATCTTTGTATGATTTTAAATGGATTTAAATACTTTTAAGAAGTAACTACCTATATGCGATTCACCAAGCAGCATGCTTATCTCCATATTTCCTTTAATAATGAACTTATTCAAATTCTGATTCAACTTGGACATTTTTATTATATAGGTAATACACAAAGACCATTTTTTTCTAAATATTGAATTTTTTTTTTTTGTATAAAGTTATGTTTTTTTTTTGAATAAATCCCACTCGTTTTACTGTAAAATGTAAATTATTTAATTTAGAACACTATATCCCCGTTGTGTTCGTTTGATCATTTATTATATCAGTAGATACATATAGTTACGAGTTGATATTAAGTATTAACTTCGAAGATAAAAGATAAAAATWAAAATTAAATCTATTTACTAGTCAGCATTAAAATATTGGTTACTATAAATACGAATTTTTAATATATAGATTCATAATAGTCAATATTAAAAAGTCGGTCCCAAAATATAATTTTTTTTTGTATACGATTTAAGGTATTTAATTGAATTATGTTTCTAAACATAAGCGTTTTCAAGTCCTTAAATTATTTTTAAATTTTACATAAATTAATTAATAAATACCTACTATAGATAAGAAATAGGTATGCGTTTAGAAACCGAGAATTTGGAACGCTTGCAGACTGAGCTCTCCTAACTTGTTTATTTTTTATAGTTATAGAACAGCGGTTYTTAACCTTTTGTAGAACACGGACCCCGATGAAAGATTTTTAGAGATTTTCTATACTATAGAAATTGTATAATATGTAAGTACATAAATACTCACTTTATAAACGTTTTTATAGGCGGTTTGTATGTCATTTTCGTTGTTTTTCTGGAAAATGAATACAATAATAATTATAAACGTGACTTAATGTTTTGATTTGTTACATAGTGCGCGCTTTTGTTATATACCTTAGTATAAACATTATAATAGTCGGGTATATACACGGATAGACGCTAGACAGTATATTATATATAGGTATGCGCTCGTTTTGATGTTTGATCTTCCCCATAAAAAAATCACCGAAAACGCCATTTGGCCAATGCGGGAACAAATATCTGTCTGGCGGCAGACGTGCACCCACGTTAGCCATATGGTTTGATAGTAATTATTATTATCACGAAGGTAGAATATTGGTCTTTGTTATTTATTTATTTTTAAAAAATTCTGTGTAAAATACGTCACGACGTGACGTTTGAAATTGCGATTGATACCTATATGCGCACATTTTTTATTTAATTGAGAAGAGCGCCATGCGGGGTGTATAATAAATAAAAATATATGCACACACTGCACAACTGCATAGGTACCTATACGTATTTAAACTGATACATTTTCTCTTCGTATTTACCGCCAAGGAGAGGCTTCACCTCAAGTCAATTTTTCACCATCATAAATATAATATATGCTATGTAAAATTCTCATTGTAAATATTTGCAACTGAATATTTTCCAAAAAAATAATTATCGCCTGTCATTGTYTTTAAAGTGTAATTATTTTTCCTCCAATATTATTAGTGATTTGAATCTATATTTGTTTATTCGTCTATTGTATATTTATATACCTAGGTAATGAACGCATTTCTACTCGGCTGTTCCTTATAAGTTATAATATATATCTAAGGAAAAAAAACAATTTCTAAGTTTCGCTCACTTTATCAATTATGTTTTGATGTTTAGCCATGGTGTTAATCTTTTTCTCCAATTCGGAATGCTTAGCAGATATTTCTTCCACATTCTTCTTAACTGACAGTAATTCTCCTTGCATTGTTTGCAAGTCTTTTCGGTCAGAATCCAAGTCATTCCTCAGTGCTTGCAGATCGTTTTGTATGGCTACAGTCTTGTGTATCTGTGCCGTTTCATTGATGGCCGACCACACTGCTTGCATTTCTGATCTCAAACCACCAATTACTTCCTTTAGCCATCCTACGGCTACTTTATCGCGGATCCCATCGCTGTTAGAATGGGCCATCCTCGTATGTTCATCCCTAATATAAAGACAGTAACATATTATGATTGATATAAAATTACTATTTAAATGATTTATCATAATTTATAAGTTACTCTATAGGTATTCTATATGGAAATGTACATTATTAAAGAAGGTTTGTGTTTCTGAATTGTTAAAAATTAAAATTGCTTCTCTAGTAATTATACTGCAAAAAACCTATGAATAATGAATATATTACATTTATTTTAATCATTCAGAATAATATTATTATGTGTATTTATGTGCATTTATTTCTACTGAATTTAACCTCAAAAACGAATGTTATACATCGCGCTACTAGTTTAACAATTAAAAATAAACACGCCAATGTGTGAACATCCGGATACGATACATAATAATTTCACTCCTTATTGTATCTTTCATTCTATGTAAATATCTAAAATGTTATGTTAACAATAATATGTAAAAAAAAATGTTAGTTTAAATAAATAAATCCCATATTTACAACTTTACAAGAAATGTTGTAGACAATGCGTAGGTAATTAATATATTTTTATAACTTGACATATCTACTTAAAAATGATATATTATTAACATTTACAACGTAAACTAAATACTAGTTATTTAATAAAAAACAACTTACTAGATACCTATTTTATTATTATATTATTATTACGCCTACAAATATATTGGAACTAGGATGTGATCTTTGCGTTGCGTTATTCATTATGCTTATTATTACAGTTATTAATAAAATATATAATTAGTTAACCATCCTGTAAAATATCAGTAGATTATCTAATAATATCATGATATTAGAAATATAAACTGTAATCCCAATCAAAAATTAAATGGAACCCTGAGTACGTATATTCAAAAACATTTGCATAAAAATTATGTGCACCTATTATAGTTGGGTACATAGTCAAATACTATTTATTTCACTATTTGATAAATTACTATAATCGACTATTAATATAATTAGTATGTTTGGTAGAAACCTGATGAAGATATATTTATATAGTATTAATTTAATGTTTAATAAATTATTGAACGTGGCTTACAAATTCGGTTGTTATGTATTTCAATCTTTGTTATTTTAATTTCTTCAGATACTATAGTATCTTAATGTAGGTATTCTATTTATGAGCTTATGTACTAGAAAGTAGAAACGTATACGATAAATATTCATAAGAAATATTTTCAGTATTTACGACATATATGTGAAAATAAGACAAGAGATATTTTAATATTAGATACAATTCAATTTTTGGAATTTAAATCTGTCGGTTGTTTTGTTTAGGATATAATTTGAAATAAAATAAAACATTTGGAATATTTTATTTCACGTGAAACTTAAATCATCATATTTTTTTCAATCTGTTTACTCCTTACTACGATACATTCATAACAGGTATAAAAGTAATATTTGCAATATCTTAATTTTTAAAACCAACACTATATTATGACACAATGTAAATAACTCTTTGCGTTTGCCAGTTAGTCGTTTCTAAAAATAATGTTACTCCAGGCACGTGGATTTGTGTAACGATTTTTAACGTCTTCGTTAACATTTTATCCACACTGCTATTTTGTTCACAATAACTCCTGACTCCGAGTCCGGACTATCGTCAAGATCACTAAACTTTGTGTTTACAAGTTATCACAGGTAATTAAATATATTTATCATTACTTTTTATTACTTTTTACGATGATTAAATTTTTTATATGAATTTATAATAACTGCATGTTAAGTATTTATTTTAGTTATGTTATTGTTATTATTATAATGTTCAAAAGTTAATTTTATAAAAATAAAATGATATAATTAATATCATATAATTTTCTAAGGTAATTTTATCTTACAGCCCAACGTATAGAGTAGATGTAGGTATATTTAGTCGAAAAAACTGATAACTATAGCTTTAATTATATAAAATTGTTAATGTTGGTGAGGTTCAATGTGCTCAAAATAAATTAGTAACAGATAAATTTATAGTTATTATTTTTTTTTTTTTAAACATTAATGCCTTAAATAAAAGTTTTGTTCAATATGTGGGAATGATAGATAAATAATAGATGAAATTTATATTTATGAATATAATTATTTGTTTATAAAATAATATATAATAGTTGCTACTAGATCATAAACTATCGTGTATAAAAACACGAAATGAACAGTATTGTACACTTGATTTTAACCAGAACACGCTTAGTAAATAAAGTACCAAGTTAATTAAAAATAAATTGTACCTAATTCCTGCAAATTGGTAAATATTTATTGAATCAGTAGAAAGCTAATGGTAACTTAAATATGATWTARTGGCTGGKCCATTAAATTTTAGTGAAGTATTAAATTAATAATTAGTTAAAAATTAAGGCAACTAGGAATAATTGAATTAAAGCAATTTTAATGTATGTATTATCTAATGCATATACTAGATAATTATTATTTTTCAATTTTAGGATTTTAAGAAGGGCCGGAGAGTAGGATATAATTTMTAATAACTAATTAAGATAAATAATTTAATTGAATTATTAATATGTAAAAATATATTTATAAACTTAGATCATTGGTTACTTTAATTTACCTAAACAAATTTTCTGAGATTTAAAACTTTTTGTGATATCGTTTTATTTAGTAATTGAAAAAGTAACTTTTAATTGCTAAAATTATAAATAGACTAAATAATAATAAATATAAGAGATCAGTATACAATATGATATGTATGTTAAATATAATGATGAATTATAATGCTGTATTATACTTGTACTTATTTAAAATATTAAAATATAATGGAATATTATTGGCCTCGAAGTAATATATTTAGTAGTCTACTATTAGTAATTGTCAATTGATACCCAAGTATGTACAGTGTACACTATATCGACTAATTATATATTTGGTAAGATTCATGACAAAATATAATATAATATAATATATTCACCTGATCAATTGAATTTCTTCTTTCAACGCGTCGAGGTCTGTGTTTCCTTTCAGAGATTCGTAAAGCGATTTTTCCAACTGCTGGTAATCCTGTTGTCTTTTTTCTATCAGCAAATTCAGTTGGTTTTTAATAGCCCTCAACTCGTCTTTATCGAGTGCTGTTTGAGACTTGGCGGGATCCGTGAATACGCATAGAGCAACAGTTACCACCAGGAACAGAAACATGGTTGTTATCTTGCCTGAACACTTCGTTTCAAACTGAACACGGTAAACTAGTCCGTTCAAGCCTGTCCCTGTACGCCGGCCAGGAGCAGATGGTGYATGGCTCGTGTTCAGTTTGCGCATGCGCACATCGAATCCGGTTTTTTTTCACTTTAACGTGTTCTTAAATACGCGGTAATAATATTATAACATTGCAGAAACACGAGTGCGGTAAAAAMGTAATTTATGCAAAGAAAAAAATTAAAAGGATTGTTATTAAAGTGGTTATTTATTCGAACACTCTATTATATCAACATTTGATCAATAAAAAATCCAGTTATGCAGGTGTTTAACGAGCTTAGGCACGTGGATCAGTTGATTCTCTGAATTAAATGTGTACCGGACTTGCTCGTTAATTATTCATCATTGGATACTGCAGGAGTTAAATGTACTCTTATAATATGTATCGCAGATGTATTGCCAATGCACGTCGTGTTTGAATTATTTAATTGATGAACGTATCTCCAGGTACGTGTATAATAGCCAATAGGTACTTCTTTTATAGGTAGTTCTATATAATAAAGTGAAACTAAAAGATGCATTATGTATAGATTTCATTGATGAGTTCGGTTGTTTATTACAAATTTTCTTCCCGTAGGTAGGTATAGTTCTTTGTTTTTCACTGAAATACAACTTTTTGAAACATATTAMCGGGTTTTCGCGAGGATTTACCCATTGCGATATCTCCTGAGATAATAAATATATCATAAATCTGTTTTCAATTATTAAACTCTCGTAGACAAGGACTAGATGTATTTTATCTTTTAATTTAATTTAATTTTTGATAAAAAGTTWAAAAAAAAAAATAAAGATACCTATTTTATAGCGTTTATTTTGCTGAAAATGCTGACCTTTCAACATTTTATTTTCATTAATTTTTAATATGTTTTTTATAGTTTAAAACARCGAAAAACTGATTTTTATCTGGGTGGCGAGTCCATTTCTACAGCTAATTGGTAATCCTCACGGGACACCCTGTAAATGCTATATATAATATATGTATTATACATATTGTCTATTGCTAATCACTATATATATTGATCACTGATGATATATATACTGATCACTTCAATCCTTTCGATTATTTATAATTATCGATAGAGTATAGAGTAAACTGTAATGAGTAAATTACATACACAATAATATATCAATTTAAATACACATCGTTATTAAATTCGATTTATTTAACACTTAGATCACCGCAATATTATCTCATAAATGCCCTATCTATAATAAATATAGACATATAATAATTAAGTATAAGTATTATTCGTTCCTTTATATTAATATATACAATAGTACATAATTGAATTATTTCTATAAGTTGACCAATCGTCGATCATTAATTAAGGTTATCGGCTTACACTTTTTTTTGTTATTGAATGCATTTTTAATTGACAAAATAATTATTTTGAGTATTTTTGGAAAAAAATTCTTGAAAATCAGAAAATTTTGAAATGTATATAGTAAGTAAATTTTATTCTTTCACATACAAAATTATTGAAACACACATATTGTTAYGTTTGTTTGATCTGATTATCTGTGTATAATATATTTATAATTAATTGGTGCTAAAACACACTTATAAGTACTCACAGTGGCGTATATAAGGCGAGTCATGGGGATCAGATCCCCTCCCATTGACTTTTTTTGTTTTTCCTTACATTTTTGTAGGCTGCATTATAATGTAATATTTTGTCATATTATTATGTATTTGTGATTGACGACAAGGTTTCTTATCATTATACATTAAACTAATAGGGAAAAGAATATGAATATGTGTATTCTAAATTCTAATGGYGCAAGTTTCAAAACGATTTTTATATTTTTAAGCGTAAAATTTGCAATAAATTCTGGATGATTTCTCGTACTCGATCAAACACCTGCAGCCGCCTTCTGTTGAACTACGGGCTTCTCAAGTGTTAAACATAAAATAAAATTGTTAGAGCTGATAGCCCACAACATGCCTAATCAAACTATGAATGTATCAAGTCGATAGCGTTATTCAACGATTTTTAATTAATTTATAAAGTGACATTTGCATAACTGCCGGATGATTCCATTTAAAATCAGTGAAAATTCACCCGTMTACTCAATGACTACTGGGTCTTTAATCCTTATACATGAAACTATCATGCCTTATACTGGTATAATATGCTTATAGATCACAACATTTGAAATCGAAATCGAAAACTTCAAGCCAATGGCGTGGTTGTACAGTTTTTAGTGAATTTTTATATGAACGGAATAAACATGATAAACCCAAAATATTATTTTATTTTAATTTAATTCAGTTATGTCCATGATAGTGCCTCTAGATTACTATCACAGTATCACGAAGCCCAAGGGCTCTGAGGATCATAGTTTAAGAACATCTGCTGTATACGATATTCTCAATTTCTTCAAGTTTCACTTCAATAATTGATATATATTCTTTAAATATATTCATGTTTGACTTCGATACAGACGTACAGTATAAGTAACAATTTATTGTTATTAAAATATCAATTCATATTTGACGACCATTGGAATTGATCGCATTAAACAATCAATGTATAACACATTGTTTTATATTTTAAGTTTGTATTTCTTTTTTTAATTGAATTGAAAATCATTCCATTTAAATTTATGTTTTTTCTGAATCGAAATTTTAATATGTTCGATAGTGATTTTTTAACCCATCCCAATTAAAAATAATATAGTTAAACCTTATAATTATTCTTTTAAGAGTCAATTTCATTATGATATATTACTTTATTAGTCTTAAAATTTTTTCATTGAATGTGTAAATCGATGACTGATGAGTTATTAGTTATTACTAATTGTTTATCTGCAGTTAGATATGAAATATGTTTACATGTTTACATTGTATTAATTKTTCCATTTCAATTTTTTTAATACCATCACTTCAAATTATGTTTTTGCCAAGTCCACATTAATTCAATACTTTTTTTATATTTCAGTWGTTAAATCTTATAAACAATTATGATGCATTTCAATTTGTGCATTACTTATAACCGTCGATGCATGTAAAAACGGTTATTCCAGGAAGTGCATATACCATAACACCATGTCATTTGTCTCGTGACCTCATACAACTAGATGTTATCGATATGCGTGAACATTTCAGGTATGAGGATGGGTAGGCCTCACTAGCTATATACGGTATATAATTAACCTATAGTGGCTAGTTGATTTATGTCAAATTCAGTTCTATAACATACGAATGTTGGCACAACCTATGGTCAAACGAAACATGATTTAAAGTAAAACTGCTACCAAAATGTATTCAAAAAAACACCATCTGTATAAAATGTATATTAATATAATTTTATACGACATCGTCGCGCGTCGGCAGTCGGCACCAACATATTGCTATTATATGAACACGCGCAGTAAAAGTACAAWACCTATGTCAAATTGTCTTAAATATTTTTTTTTAAATTTACCTATGTAATATAAAATCGCATGGAGTCTTCTCAAATTTCAAAACGAGTCTTAAATTAAGTATTATAAAGTGATTGCAAGCTGTTGATATTTTTAAAATTATAGGTAAACGCGATATGCAGCTGCTTGGCTCGTGCCAGATGCAACTCACAGCTGGGACATCCCAAAAACGAAAACAACTGTCCGCTTGGCGCTTTTTCAGATAAAACACACCTGCTCACTACTAGCAAGGGACTATATCATAGACTTCTAAATTGTATACAGGCGCTCACCCTCGAACGATAATCTAACCACCTTATTATTAACAAAAAAAACTCGTTTCGTACACAAATTAAAGAAAAATAACACTTAATTTATTTTGATCCAGACATATTTTATAAATAGCTATAGTACAATTATATTAAAAATCAAAACAGGAACATTTTACACAACAATAAAATCCAACGTATTATAAAAATTACAATAAATATTAAAAATAAATAAATAATTAATATAATACTATTATTTATAATTATAAATTATAATCTATTGAGCTAGAAATCCACGTAATTTCAAACTAAAAAAAAAAACGACTTTATAAATTAAAAATAAAAACGATATTTTGGTCTAAAAAGATAACGTAGGCCACAATAAGGCGTATTATTTTGTTTGAAAATTTGAATTTAAYTCTCGGTGTGATTCAATCGTTTAGAATATCTTATGCGTAAGTCTTCTATGAACTCGTTCTTAAGAATTTTCAAACATCTATAAAGTGGAATAAATAAATAAAAAGACAAATTATGAATTTGTTTTCATTGTGGTTTTAACACAATGATAAAGTTTGATTACTGTCGAGGTTAAAGTTAGTAAATACGAACCTTCTATATTGAGAAGACCCTCGAAATTTGGCAATATCGAAACTCGGCGCGTGAGGCATGTGAATTATAAACGCATTTGGAAGAACAATAAAAGTGTATCCTCGAGCTTCAAGTTCCATGATGTGCGACACTTTGTTCCAGCCGAAACCAACAAATCTGGTATCGTATTTTGGAACATCACTACGTACCACTACATAGGGTTCATAATCTGGTTCCCATGACACCTATATAAATTATTAATTATAATTTGACTAACGTATTTGGTAAAAATGTAGTAAATGCAACTAAAATGTGTTTGTTTTAACTACAATATTTATACCTAAAATTACTTAGTTATAACTTTTTTTCCGTGTAAATCTTACAAAATACACATGTTTTGATTAAGATTGAAACGAATCAAATCTATTTTCATAAGTTTTTTTTTTTWAAATATTTTTATTGCACTTTCTGTCACAAGTAAGAATCGAAAAATACGTGAATTTGGTGTATGGAAAAAAGAAAAAGAAAAGATATGATTTTTAATTCACAATTTCACCATTCATGTAATGATAAGCAAGAGGAACTTATATCCATATTTATAAGTAAATTTTAATTTTGAAAAATAATTTCTAATACTACATTTAAGATAACTGGTTTTCAGCCGATGTGCCACGAGGTTTT